ACCCACCCACCACCCCGCTCGAAACCACTCCAGCCATACTTTGGTCCTTATCACTAAATTAAAACAGATTTTCTGTTGTCAATGCAATGGCTATGCATTTTATTCAATCTAGTAGCAGCATTTGACACAGTTAATCTCCCTCTCACAAGAAACATCTTTTTTCTCTTGGTTCAAAGATAACAGTCTCCTCTGTTTTCCTTCTATCTTGCCAACCACTCCTCATCATTTTCTTTTGCTGGCTCTTCCTCATCTTTCTACTCTCTGAATGTTGGAGTGTCCCAGGACTTTGTCCTTCGAGCCCTTTTTTTTGTTCTCTTTAAATGGCATGGAATATTGATACTCCTAATTTATATCTCTAGCCAAGATTTTTCCTTTGAAGTCCAGAGTTATATATCCTACTGCCTTCTTGTTAAATTAACTTGGATGTCTAATACCTATCTCAAACTTAACATGATTAAAACTGAATTTCATTTATTTTCCTCCCAAACTCGTTCTTCCTATATTGTCCTTATCACAGTAAATGGCAACAATGCCCATCCTGCGCTCAGGATTTATTCTTGAGCCCTCAATTTCTTGAACAACTCTTATCTGCTCTTCTTTTAAAATATATTCAGAATCTGGCTACTTCTTACTGTCTTACTCAGGTCCAAGTCACCATTACCTCTCACCTGCACTATTGCAACGGCCTCTCAACTATTCCTTCTATTTATACCACAGCCCTCCTACTGTCTATCTTCAGAGAGCAGCCAGAGTGATAGTAAAAAAGTGTAAGTCAGATAATATACCTTCCCTCTGCTCACAATTCTCCATGATCTCGCACCCCTGTTTCTTCTCTGACTTCATCTCTGATCACTCTCTCCCTTGCTCACTCTTTTCCAGCCACACTGGACTCCTTGATTTTTCTTAATGTTCTCATATCCCTGCCTCATGGCCTTTGTATTTTCAGTGCTCTCTGCCTGAAAAGGTCTCCCCTCATATTTTCTCTTACTCCCTAACTTTTTTCTAGTCTGTTTGCAAATATCATCTTGTCAGTGAAGCCTTTCCTGACTCCTCCATGTAACACAGCAGCCCCTCTTTGAGTCACTCTCAGCCTTCCTTTACTCTGTTATTTTTCTTCATAGACTTATCACTACCTAACTGACACAATGAATATTTATGTCCCCCTGCCATTTTATTGTGAGATCCTTGAAGACAAAGATTTTATCTGTCTATTCATTGCCAAGTCTACAGTGTCTAGAGTAATGTCTGGGATATAATTATTGGTGTTCAATTAATATTTGTCAAATGAATGATAGATTGAAATTAAAGTGAGCCCCAAAACCAAGGACAGGAGGCTATAAAAGAGAATTTAGAAAACAAAAACAAATGCACTTGAAAATAAAAATATGACAGCTGGAATTAAATCTAATAGACAGGTTTGAAGACAGAGTGGAGAAAATTCTCCCAGAAAATAAAAGGGAAAGGCAAAGAGATGGAAAATAGAAAAGAAAAGATGACAAACTTAAAAGATCAGGATAGAAGGAAAAATAATGAAATACTAGGAATTCCAGAAAGTGAGATAAGAGAAGTGAAAGAGAAAAAATTATCAAAGAAAGAATTCAATAAATTTCTCGCAAGTGAAGAACATGTGTTTCCAGATTAATATACATGCCAAGGGAATACAAAATTATACAATACTCATGTAAGGTTATTGGCCTACATCTAACAAAATATATATGCATTTACCATTAGACCAAGCAATCACACTCTAAGATTCTATCCAAAGAAATACTTGCAAATATGCCAAATGACATATGCACATGGATATTTATTATAGAGTTATTTGTAATAATAAAATACTGAAAACAATCCAGATGTCTATCAATAGGGAATGATTGAATAAACTATGTTATCCAGTTGTAAATAAAATTTTGAGTGATAGAAGAAATGTGACTATAAATGGAAAATTAGATAATATTAAGGCACTACTATTTATTTTTATAGAGGTAATAATGACATCATAAATATGTTAAGAGAAAACTCATCTTTTAGACATGCATGTTGAAGGACTTAGGGGTGAAATAATAGATGTCTTGTATTACATTTAAAATATTCCAGAAAAAAAATTTAAAGAAAGGGATGGATGAAACAAGGCTGGAAAAAATGTTTATAACTGTTTCATCTAGGTGATTGTATATAGGTGTTCATTACATTATTCTGTTCAATTTTACATATATTTGAAAATTACCATAATAAAAAAATTTATCTCCAAACATGATAGATTTTATATTACCATCACTAATGTACATTGTCCAAAAATTAGTATATGCTTGAGACAATGATAGTCCTAAAAGCTGAGAGAGAGAAAGAGACAGAGACAGAGAATAGGTCTCCTAAAAAGGGGTAGAAATTACAATG